CTGCTGAATTGCAAACTTGGTAAGCAAACTATATGTTATTTCTCCTAGTTTTTAGATTTCTCCTCATTCCCCTGTTGTCTAAATAAATCCCTGAATATTGGCATGTTTCCAAACTTCTGCACAAGCTTCTAATTTTTCCTTTATTATTTTCTTGTTCTCTTTGTAAATTGTTTGATAATGCTGTTCAGCTTCTAATTGACTGTGTGCTCATTTCACATATTCTTTCTTCTGTTAGAATGAGTTTAAAAAAATATTTCTAAGATGTTAAAATGAGATCAGTCCTAGCTTTATTCTGTATTAGCTTCATAACACTTTCTTCAGTTTGGTGAACTGTGTTCACAGCTTGTGGTCAGTTTCTAGTACTTAAGCATTTTAATCCAAGTCACCTTCATCTGTCGTCTCCGTGATGCTTTCAGATGTTTTTCTAGAAATGCTTTATGTACTAACTTTGTTCAAATATTGAGCTATCGTAACAAGATTTTCTTCATACTGTTGTTTTGCTGCTTGCTTTATCTACAAAGAGCTGTGTTACCAAAGTAAATGTAAGTAAATGCGACTTATTCTGAATTTCTGTATTCTAGGCAGAATTCTTCCCCTCAAGTTGTTTTTTTTGCAGGGGTATCTGAGCATGTTGTAGTTGGGGGTTGTTAAAGAGTCCAGAAGCTAGAGGAAACTGCAAGGACGTATTTGAAGCCTATCCTGTCTCCTCGCATGTTACAGTGTGTATCTCGAGCTCCTGCCTTTTGTAACTTCCCAGCTAGTTGGAAAGCCGTGTGTATGATCTTGTAGCTGAACTCCTTCACTACCTGACGTGATTTGATGCTGGGATTGCTGTCATAATTGCATGTATTTTTAGGCTGAATGATAGCTCAGTACTCAACTGACCAATAATGAAGTTTATTTTTTATAATGTTAGACTTTCTCCAAATGGGGATGATGTCTGTCAAACCTATGAAAGCATCAATACTAAAATACCTTGCTTGCAGATCAGTTTGTTTCAATGGGTATCTAACTCCCTAATGCATTTTTAATTTCAAAATGGTACTTAAATTTGACTGCAGTTTTGTGCAGTCAGAAGTCTGACTTCTTGTTGGAATATGTTGCCCACTTTTTAACACGCATGTTGAATTTTGTATTACAAGCCAAATCTTCCAGGCGTTCTTGAAGTAAACCTGTACTGGGGTCTGTACTGTGGTGAGGGCTGTATGGTTTGGTCTCCCTCCTATCTTGGATAATTACAACACAGTATATGGGTAAAAGTACTGTACACTGTAACCGGTATAAGAACTGTTAATTAAAACATGTTCTCTCTAATGGAGTATACTGCACTTCATTGAAATCATTAGAATGCATCTTTTATGTAGGGGTGCTATTTGTGTTGATGGATGTGACTGAGAACAAACTGTATAAGATGTTAATGAAGCCATATGTACAAGGCTTGTGTATCTTAAATTTTATACAGAAATACTGAACACTTTGTGTTATGAAGTATAAGCCATTTATATTTAATATAAACATCTAAGATGTAATCTACTTAGTTTGCTCGTTTTATTTACGATGATAAATCTTAACTTTGGAAATTATTTCTGTAGTAGGGAAAACGTAAAATCTTTCCATTTTTATCATTGTGAAATAAATTTCAGTAAGTGTTTGGGAAAGTTAGACTTTTTCCATACTTACCTGAAAGAAGTGGAGCTTTCATGTCCTGTGAAACAAGCACTTTAGAGGCTTCTTGCAAATGTATTGCATGGTAACGTATGCATGATGCTATACTGCAAAAGAATGATGATTGGTAGTTACTGAAAAGAAAAAAAAAAAATCACCAATTTATGTTTTGCTACCATGTTGAGAAAATGCTGAGCACGATTTTATTTTTTTTTTTCATATTCTGGGTTAATTTTATTTTAACTTGTTTTCTTGGAATTTGCAGTAATTTTGAAAGGTAGAGGAAATGAAAATATTTTCTAGTAGCCTTATTCTAGGACACTAAAGAGCCAAAGTCTTCTCACTGTATTGCTGCACCTTTCTGTGGGGGTTCTGCGGTGTCGGGGAGCCTTTGAAGTTATATTAGGCATAGCATACATACCACTTAACATATTTGTTAAAGAAGCAGTTTTCAGGTCAGGGGTTACGTGTGGTCTTTAGGTTAACTGTAATACTTGAGGCTGATCAGTGGTATAGATTGTGTGGGGCAGCCTAGAGAAAACTTGAGATTACCTGGGAAGAGATGCTGAAGAGACTTGAGAGGGAATGGGGTGTACATGTAGTAAAGGTAGACCTTCCCCCTCAGGCAGTTTAAAGCAACTAAAAGGCTGCTTGTCTCCATAGACTGTGATGTCTAAAAGTCAGTGTGGAGCACAGTTAGGAAGTTCATGAATGTGTGGAAATGCATGTCAGATGCAGTGCTGGATGCGAATATATTGTGGCAACGTAAGGGTATAAGAATAGCTAGTAACAATAAAGATGCAATACTATACAGGGTAATTTGTCAGTTTACATTTTATGAAAAACTTCTTGAGTCATCTCCAGTTTCTATTTACTTTCAGCTCTGGCATCCCTGAGGAGATAACCGTGAGGAGAAATGTTGCCTAAAATTAGCATAGTAAAAAATTACAGTGTACTATTGTACTAAACTTTATCAAATACAGTATGAGACCACTGGTGTAAGTGAAGGAGACTCTCAAGTAGTTTTCAGAATGTCTGTTCATTAACTTGGAAATGGGATTCTTTGAAGAATAATAGCTGTAAATTATTTTTTCCTTTTTTTCTTTTGGTTTTCATTGCTTGCCACTCTCATGTTACCACCGTTTGCCTTTGGGATAACAGGTTTATTAATTCTCTTTGAGTGAAACAAGTGCCTTTGATGTAGCTGATTAAAGGGGATTTAAACGAAGTACTTCTATAATTTAATGGACATCCACAAAGTGAATCAGTAGCTAATGGTTTTCTCTTGGTTCCAATTACTAGAAAAGAGCAACCCATTGCCTCCTTTTTCTCTGCAAAACTTGTATAACTTCTAGCCAGTTTGCTGAGGTGTAGTGAACCTTGCTTCAGGCATCTAAGTGGGAGGTTTAGCTTCTCTGTGTAGAGAAGGTAGACTTCCCTCAGGGGTCATTCAGCATTCTTTTTTTAAAAGGCTACTTGTCTGCGTTAACAGATGGAGCAGATGGAGTCTAAAAGTTGGAGTTTGAATGTTCTCTGTTGTGAATACAAGCAAACTTTTACAGTAGCTTCTACTTGAAATCATTTGGTAGCTATGTCATAGTATTTTACATTATTTTGGGGGATCTTTAAAGGGTTTTTCAGTCTATGTACAAAAAAATAAGTAGAGGTTGCCCCAGAATAGAGAACATGTCTTATCTAAGTGACAGTCTAATAATGACCTTAAAATTTTTTTTCTTAAATATTTTTTATTTTTCATGTTCAGCTGCCTCCA